ATCAAAACCCTATTTTCACGTTTTAAATTTCGTTGTACATGTGTCGTCGCTGTCGGCAGTAGTTTCTGTCATATCGAAATGTTGCGCATTGCTGTTCCCAATCTTCAAATCTTCGAAAATATTACTGCTAGCCGTGACTTTGAGGACCAGTTATTTCTACCGTGGCCAATTTGTCACGGTGGAAAACACCATCGGCACGGTGCAAATGACCCCCAGAAAACAGAATTCTCATGAAGCGGCCTCGCCACATACTGTGCGAGTACTGTGCGAGTAGTGCACTGCATTATTACTGCATTGTCACTGTCTTCCCAATTGGCGCGCGATACTCTCAACCATGGAAAGAGAAGACGAACACTTCCGGGGGCAGGCAAAGGCTGACACCCTTGGATGCTGAGAGCAGTGCTTTTCTTACATGGACTGTTATGGCACTACTATTATGACGATGACATGTAAGCGACAGGAAGTCTTGTGCGCAGGATACGGCAGATGGTCGCGATTAAATTTCGAGCGAGTGACGCGGGGGAACGTGCCTATTCGTCAAACACCTGTTTAGCCTGCTCGCCACGTGCTGTATGAAGCATCTTTGTTTCGGAAGGTGTTCGTGCTCACGCTAACAAGTTACTCCCACCCTCGGCTTGAACCTTTTCCGCTTGCATTATGATACGCTTGGGGCCCATTTGCCCGTGCCCTATTGGCCATTAGCGATGTTTCCAGACGGAACACTTTACAGAGACAATGCTCACATAGCCAGGTCAAGAGCCACCGCCAACTGCGCATGAGCAGACGCCATCTCGCCCCGAGGCTGTATTGTTGTTCTCGCGCATACGTCATCCTATGTCGCGGACGTAACACATCCACAAGTGGTCCGTTCCCCAATCCGCAGTTTTACAGAACAATCGCTTTTTTAAAACCGATTGTTAACATGTATTCAAGTACTCTGTGTTCATGCTGTTCATACAGCTTCTTTCTTGTAGTGTGGTGACAAAGGTCCAGCAGGGCGATGTGCTGCAATGATGAAATGGTGCGGTAGCGTGGTGAGCGTGCCTTGACAATAGTGTCCACCCCTTAGTGCAGCTCGGTGACGCATTCTGTTTCAACGAAAAAGCTCTCTGCTCCATCTCTTGCTCACCGGCACGCATGCTCACGTCACCTGATATACATCGCAACCGCCGAGCATGGAAAACCAGTTTTGCGTTCGAAGACACTTCTTAGAGCAAGGCAACCAGTGCGCTAATTTATAGCGCACATTTTTAGCCATGCAGCGCTCTAAAGAGTGCGCAACACAACAAGTGCGTCGCCATATGTGACGGCCCGCAAGGGGCCGAGTATTAATTTTTCCCAAGTTTTTCGCCAAGACAAGGGGTCTGAAGCACGGCACATATAGCACTCGAAAGATGATTGGTTATAGTGATTATGTGATTATGAAATATCGATGAATTCTGAGTGATCGCGTGCTATTTCCATTTCTATCCTGCGCCAGGAAAGAAACGAATATAGAGATAGGTGCTTCCAGATAGCAACCGAAAAAAGCGATTAGCGCACCAGTTGACATGCCAACAGAGGAAAATCTTTAAAAATTCGAAATTTAACGCACTAGTTGCCTTGCTCTTAGGGAGGACAAAGTAAATGATTGACACCAGTCAAACCGCCGCGCCTCTTAGAGCAACCCCACCGCGTCGATTCTATTGCCGGATAGAAATGAAACGTGTACGCTGACTATTCGCCGGTTGCACGAATAGATCTTTGTGGCGAATCGTCAATCTATCCGTGTGGATTCTATTCACACGGATAGATTGACGATTCGATATAGATTGATGGGGCGCGTCAACCCCAGCGCATATTTGCAACTCTATCGCTGAATGCTCGTGCGGACAGCGGCGAGACGTCACACATCGTCTGCGAAGAGGCGATCGTTCATCGAGACGCCCACCCCTCGCCGTGAATCCCGCACGGCTGCATGTCTGTCTTCCGCAGCTTGTGCCCTCTGTCCCTGTTCGCTGCGCGCCCTCCCTCCGGTACTGTCCAACTACGCGCTCCCACACGGCATCATCGCCAATGAACCCGATAGAAGTCCTCAGAACCGTCCTTCAGTACACAGACGACAGCCATGGGGATGATGAAATCATTGTCGCGAGCATGCACGGGTCACGCGTCGCCGAAGTGCATGCTGCAGCGACGAAGCAGCGCGGAGGTTCTCGGTTGGGACGGCATGATCGAGTTCGCGCGCTTCGCTATTCGTAGTATACTGTGACAGGTGGTTGTTGATGATGTGCCTCTCCCACGCTACTAGAGGACATGAAAGGCTGATTTATGAGTACCATAGCCGCGTGCCATGGTGTTGGCGCACTATTGCATGCCTGAATGAAGCGCGCGACACGCCTGCCGAGGAGTTTCGGCTCGCCTTCTCGCAAGTAGGAGGCACATTTGGCTGGAATTTGGTAGACACGCTTGGCACGTGTCATTCTATCGGGGAATCTATTCATCGGATGGAACGTTTTTGGAATCTATCGGCGCTCGGATAGATTCCGAAATGGTTCTATTCGATTTCGGAAAGCGATAGAATTGCGCGGTGGGGTTGAAAATCGTGAGCAGAAATTCTATTGATCAAATAGATGTGCGCGGTGGGGTTGCTCTTAGAGGGGACATAATGCTTGACACAAGTCAAACGCCACGCCTCGCGGAAACTGGCCCCTCCTACGATTAATGGAACCTTGCATTGTTGTGAGGGAAGCCCCCGTCAAGAAACAAGCTCCAACTAATGTGTTTACCCCAGGGAGAATTGAAGAGGACCGCTTTTTACAAGCTTCTACCTTTCTATCTTTCGCGTTTGCTTCAGCGGCATCTGTGGCAGATCCTGTCGCGCTTTGATCCATTGATGGACTCTGCGCATATGAAGCGATAGGGGTGTCCATGACGCATATCGATACGACCCGTGCAGTCTTGAGACTTTTGTTGAAGGCCATCACGACTCTCAAGGTGGCCCTCACGGCTTGGCTCCGTCTGTCTCTCTGACATGTCTTCTCGGCGTGTCTGCCCCTGTTCGTCTCCTGCCTGCTCAATGAGCCGCAAAACACGCTTGCCGAGGCCAGCGCTTCCTTCGTGATCTCCCATACGCGTGAGAGGTTTCCTCACGCCAAGGGCATTTGTAATTTTAAAAGAATGATCCCCCTTATAAGAATAAGGACGGGAGAAAGGCTCAGTATTCTTATAAAACGGCAAAGCGGCAACAGTGCCTCCTACGATATAGATTAATGTATACAGTAGTATAGAATATATATAAAGCGGCAACAGTGCCTCCTACGATATAGAATACTGTATACAGTAGTATAGAATATATATAAAGCGGCAACAGTGCCTCCTACGATATACTATACTGTGAGCCCAAATCGTGTAGCGTGGACGAGTCGTTTTTAATGACGATGGAGATGATAATGGTGATGGTGATGGGGAAGTTGGGTTGCATGAGGCACGCACTAATAAGAGTGGAAGCTAGTAGCAAGAGTACTGTAAATACAAGTGTAAACAGCAGCAGATATGAGGCTTGGCCTCACATATACAGTATAGAATACAGTACAGTATATATAAAGCGGCAACAATGCCTCCTACGATATACTATACAGTAATCTCTCTTTGTAAGAATCAGGACAGGAAAGGACATTATTATTCATGTAAAGAGAATATTCCTATGACGGCAGTTATGATGCTTGTCCAGCAAGGTTACTGGCCCCTGAAAAGAAGGAATCAATTCTCGTTTGCTTCTGCGTTTGCACTTTAAAATTTCGAAATTTAACGCACTGGTTGCCTTGCTCTTAGGGAGGACAGAGTAAATGCTTGACACCAGTCAAACCGCCGCGCCTCTTAGAGAGGACATAATGCTTGACACAAGTCAAACGCCACGCCTCGCGGAAACTGGCCACTCCTACGACTAATGGAGCCTTGCGTTGTTGTGAGGGAAGCCCCCGTCAAGAAGCAAGCTCCAACTAATGTGTTTACCCCAGAATGATTTCGACTTTAAATTTTCGAAATTTAACGCACTGGTTGCCTTGCTCTTAGGGAGGACAAAGTAAATGCTTGAAACCAGTCAAACCGCCGCGCCTCTTAGAGGGGACATAATGCTTGACACAAGTCAAACGCCACGCCTCGCGGAAACTGGCCACTCCTACGACTAATGGAACCTTGCGTTGTTGTGAGGGAAGCCCCCGTCAAGAAGCAAGCTCCAACTAATGTGTTTACCCCAGGGAGAATGGAGGCCATTCTTCAATCTTTCCTGAAACCTGGCACTACGTATATAGCTCTTTGGCATGCGTCATCTGGCACTACCATGGCACTTAGCAATTGAATGTGTGCGATGAAACCCTTCTATGTCGAAACCGTTTTCCAAGACAATGTTTCGGAAATCCATGGCCAACACCACAGCAGTGCTCGGCCTGTTCCTCTGCGCGACTGAGGCCATGAAGCGCGATCTCGATGGGGTCAATCTTCGCTGCTGCACCGCAATGGAGAATCCAATAATCGTAAGGAACAAAGCTAAGGTAGGAACCATGTTCATTCTAATCTGCGACAGAAACGCTTGCACAGCTAACCTTCACATCTTGTGTTGCTTTCAGATTCATGGATACGACGGGCTGGCCATTCGATACCTCGAACAGCTGCAAGAAAGGCTTGGATTTCGATGCGAGTCTCTCAAAGAGTTGAGAAACGAGGACGACGTGCAATTCAACGCTATCGTCAAAAACATAGACGAGTGCACCACAAAGCATGGCAATATTCGACAAGACCGAAAATGCCAGTGCGAAATGGCTGTCGGCGGCTGGTTTCGGAATCCTGAACGCTTCGGGCGAGTGGATTTTCTGCCGCCGTTCGCTATCGACGGCCTGAGCATCATTGTGCACACGGATAACACTTCCTCGGCATCTGCGGGCGCCTTCTTCATCACTGCTTTCTCTACCACTGTGTGGGTTTTCATTTTGGGGCTCGTTTGTGTGTTTACTTTTCTCAAAATGCTTGACAGGCGCTTCGTACCTCCGGATGAATCTTACCAGCCGCTGCCGAGAACATCTTCTCGGGTGCGCAGGATGAAGCACTATTTGTTGAAGAGTCGCATACCATATCGATTGCGAAAGGCACTGCAAAGCACAAGTAAGTCTTTGTCGCAAGAAGTTTGGCTCCATTCAAATTCTTTCTTTTGCTTCTGACTTAGTTTTCTATCACTTTCCTATCACTTTCCTAATTATCGCGAACCATCTCCATTAGTGAGCCGTATGGTCGGTCAAGGTGGCTACGATCCCATCGAGGGCAAGACGAGCTCGAGACAATGGGTTCTCAACCTGCTCATTGCTCTATGCAGCCTTTTCCTGATTTTGACATACGAATCGGCAATGACGTAAGTTGTTTTGTCTTCAGACACCAGCAGAGTCAAACTCTCAGCGAGGATCTCACGGAAAGAAATTAACGCCTTCCCACGTTTTTAACAGTGCGGTACTTGTACAGGACACCCTCGTTTCTGACTACCGCAATATTGAAGACCTGAAGAAGTGCCATATACCCCCGCATGAAGTGTGCGTAACAGAAGGAGGAGCCATAGAAGTGTTCTGGGATCACGCTATCGCTACAGAGTACGTCACGCCTACCTCGTTACCTCCGTGTTTCTCTCAAACAGTGGTTGCTAACAACTACATTTCCCATTCTCTTCGCCAGTTCCTGTCACAAGGGTCAAAGTCCGGTGCTGGTTTCATCGGACGAAGAAGGCGCCAAGAAGTTGTACGAGAAAAAGTGCAAATTTATGATCGGTCTCACTGCCACGGGCATGAGTCTTGCCCACGGAAAGTACTGCCAGAAGATAGTGTCATCGGGCGAGCCCTGCTTCCTGGGTGGACTGTCGTTCCTTCTTCCGCGTGGCTCCAAGTACACGGAAGTGATGAGCAACGCAACGCTGGACATGCAGCGATCGGGGTTGCTCCCAAGGCCAGAGAATTATGTCAAGTCGATGGGGCAGTGTCCAAAGGACAGCCATCTGAGCCTGACGCTGACCAAGCTGCAGGTTTTCTTCATACTGGCTTTCGTGGCGTGCTTCGTAATCTTTTTAGAAATGGTGCTGGACCCGCAGGAGGCGGAGAGGGTGAACAAAGAAAAGAGGAAGGAAGGTGATGATGACTCGATGACGGAAGAGGGCTCGATCGAGGGTACTTGTACTACCGTGGGTGCAGCCGTTTGTATGAATACGGATGAAAGAGGTTAGATGAGAGGTAATTCCGTACGACGGAATGTTTTGTTGGTGGTGCTGTTTCAGAAAGGTAGTCGGGGGTGCACTGGCTGGGGTTTTCGTTGCGTCGTGGCGTACTGCACACACCGTGTACTCAGTACACGGTGTGTGCAGTGTGCCACGACCGTCCGTGTACTACACGATGTGTGCAGTAACAGTTGAAGATAAAATGTGGCAAGTGACCGATTTTTTCTAGGCATGTCTGGTGAAAAGGCGGTATCCTACCCAGTCCTTCACCGATTTTGACTTTTTAAAGCTCAATAAACACATAAAGCGCGCATATTCAGTACCAAAGGTACTGTTGGTACTGTAGCTTTACAACTGTAACGAAATCACATCATGTGTTCATTCAAGGGAATGAAGTCCCTTAAATGAACAGCTTTTACAGGTCTGAATCGCATGGAAACTAATTTGGCAACCTCAAATAATGGCCGTGGCCCGAAAAAAACTCTTTATTCTAACAGTCAAAAAATGTCCGTTAACTATTTTCGCAAATATAAACTATTTTGGCAACGCACTTTTCTGGAATGGCGATGATGGGCGGCTATCGATCGATATGGAAAAGCATATTACATTGTAATGGCACGGCACAGCCTGGATTTTTGGCGGACAAGCAAAAGTAATGGGCTTTCGAATGGCGGTAAAAACAGAAAAGGCGCGCAGGTTGTAATCAGTCACAGAGCTACCAAGGTTAGCAAGTGGCGGGCGCGCATCTGGGTGACTCGGTTTCGGAAAAAGTGCCGCAAAAAGGGGAAGCAGTGCGTTGCCAAAATAGTTGAATTACTATTCCGCAACGATGATCCCCTTCCAGCACAGCTGTGCCTCCCGCCGAGTAGTCGATCAAGTGCGAGCGTCGCTTGCTTCCGCCATATTCCGACGACACTGATGTTGTGCCTGAAGAAATGAGCTTGCTTCCCTCGCCCGCAATGACCACGTGTTGCAAGCCTCAACGTGGAGTGAGAGTCGCTGCGGGTGGGGAGCATGCCCCCATTACCGTGCCCCGTTACCGTGCCCCGTTACCGTGCCCCGTTACCGTGCGTTTCGCCGCCGAGTAAAGTGACGGCCTGCCTAGAAGGCATCGCCCCCATCAAGCCTCTCGGCCACCAGACAAGAAGACGGCGCGTCGGGTGCGCGTCCGCCCGGCGGGGGCGCGCGATCAAAACGGGCGCGCGGCCACCTGTTGCGCCCCGCGGCCTCCCCGCGCGACTGCTGCAGATTCAAGCCGCATTTTAGCTTACCCGGGCCGCCGTCCGCCGTCCGCCGTCCGCCGCGCGTAACTGCGCCCTCTCTCCACGTGCTTATTTCGCCGCGCCCCACGCGGGGCGCGGCCGGTCGCATTCGCTGAGGTGCGGGCGGATGGCCCGTGCCGCCGGGGTAGCGCAAATCGCGCCGCCGTGCGTCTTCTAAGCCGCACGTAGCATGGCTGCAGCTCCGCCAGCAAACGCTTCCCGTTCAAACCACGAGCGACTCGCAGCGCAAGCACCATGCCGCCCTGCTTCCCGCTCGTGCGCAGCAATGCGGGCATCCCTTTCAAAGCGCGTGCGTCCGAATAAGCGTCGCCGCCGCCGTTGCGCGCGCCCTCACCCCGACGCGCTGTGCTTCCCTCCCCCTTCCCCCGCTCTCCCTTGCGCGCGCGCGCGCCCGTCGCCGCCGCACGTATGGACAGCGCTCGAGACCCCGCCGCGTTCTAGGCGCGTGGCGGACGCTTCCCCGCCGCGACCCGGCTTGCAGCAGCAGCGGGATGGGGAGCTGGGGCGCACTGTTCTCGCCGCTGGCAGAGTGTGGCGGCGGCGGGGCGCCGTCTAGACAAACTCATAGAACATCTTTCGTCGTCTCTACTCTCGCTCCTACTTATCCGTCTCGCTTATCCGTCTCGCTGCTGGCTGTGATCAGACAGCTTATCGCGGTCGGTCTGTCACTGGGGGCCGCTTGTGTTACCTGTGCCGGCCAGGACACTTTCCCTTTTGCCCAGTGCTTTTCTCTCACAGTAACCGATGCCCCTTGTGTGGTTCCACCCAGATAAGACAGCACACTAGACAGTGCACTGCCATTAGGGCAAAGATCCCGCACACTCCAATAAAGCCGCCGTCGCCCCCCGACCCACAGAGGTCGAGGGGGCATCGGACTCTTTCTGGCACCACACCTTGCAAGGACGGTGTTCGTAATTGGACTGAGTGACGACGCTGACGCTCCGTAAAGGGAGAGGCCCAAATGTTTAGTAAAGTTGAAATTTATGGTAAAATTGAGGGAAAAAGTTGGCCTCGTTTGCCACTTGTCTTCTCACACGTGTGGACCTGTGCACGTGGAAACCTGTGCACGTGGAAACCTGTGCACGTGTACCCATCGCCTCTTCAAAGTGAGATTGGCCCCCGCTTTGACCCGGTCTGCAACGCTTCTCAACACACCGTTCATTCACGAATACCTTTATAACTTTTGAGCACAAGAGCGCACGATGAATGGAAGCAGGTCGCTAGTTCATACATACACATACATACACACATACATGGATTGCAACGTCCGTGAGGCGAGCTTCCCACGCATTCATAAAACAATAACAAAGCAAAAAACCCTCAACGCACTACTACTGTCACGGGCGGCAAGCGGCCATCGCACTTCGATACTTACTTACACCACTAGCTTCATGATAGCAACCAGATTGCCCGCCCCTGCAACTGCGACCCCGTGATCGTGGTCTATCCGCAAGTCTCGTGGATCGTCTAACTGGGCCAAGACGGCCTCGGACCCATCCTCTCGCCTTTGCACAATTCTTCCGTCCCTTGAAAATATTTGTGATGTTCGTCCTGCGCGGGAAGCAGTACCCAAGCCTGCCGTCTTCAGGAACCGACGCTTGATTTTTCCCCAATCCTCTCTCCTCCCGGTATGAAGTGTGATCCCTCTCTCCACGTCCCACACCCGCACGCTCCCGTCACCCGATCCAGATACCACACATCTTCCGTCCCCACTCATCGCAACGCTACGCACCCAATCCGTGTGTCCAACTAACGCCTCCCCGACTTGTGCTCTTGTCTCTACGTCCCACACCCGCACGCTCTTGTCAAGCGATCCAGATACCACACGTCTTCCGTCCCCACTCATCGCAACGCTAAGCACCGGACCCCTGTGTCCAACTAACGCCTCCCCGACTTGTGCTCCCGTCTCCACGTCCCACACCCGCACGCTCCCGTCCCGGGATCCAGATACCACACGTCTTCCGTCCCCACTCATCGCAACGCTACGCACCCCACCCGCGTGTCCAACTAACGCCTCCCCGACTTGTGCTCCCTTCTCCACGTCCCACACCCGCACGCTCTTGTCAACCGATCCAGATACCACACGTCTTCCGTCCCCACTCATCGCAACGCTAACCACCCAATCCGTGTGTCCAACTAACGCCTCCACGACTTGTGCTCCCGTCTCCACGTCCCACACCCGCACGCTCCTGTCCCAAGATCCAGATACCACACGTCTTCCATCCCCACTCATCGCAACGCTCCACACCCAACCCGTGTGTCCAACTAACACCACCCCGACTTGTGCTCCCTTCTCCACGTCCCACACCCGCACGCTCCTGTCCCGGGATCCAGATACCACATGTCTTCCGTCCCCACTCATCGCAACGCTAAGCACCCAATCCGTGTGTCCAACTAACACCTCCCCGACTTGTGCTCCCTTCTCCACGTCCCACACCCGCACGCTCGTGTCATCCGATCCAGATACCACACGGCTTCCGTCCCCACTCATCGCAACGCTAAGCACCCCACCCGTGTGTCCAACTAACGCCTCCCTGACTTGTGCTCCCCTCTCCACGTCCCACACCCGCACGCTCTTGTCCTCCGATCCAGATACCACACGTCTTCCGTCCCCACTCATCGCAACGCAAACCACTTTCGACTTGTGACCGCGGAAAATTCTCAATATTTTCCTCTCCGACGTACTCCACAGCCTTAACGTCCCGTCTTCATATCCCACAACAACATTCTCCTTCCTCTCACAGAGAGTCGCGCAGGTGGCTCTTGTCACGCTCGGGATTTCTGCAGTCACGCTCGGGTTTTCTGTAGTCACGCTCGGGTTTTCTGCAGTCACGCTCGGGTTTTCTGCAGTCACTTCGGAGGTTACACTTCCAAA